TCCGGCCTTGCTGCTTCAGTTTTGCCTTGGAAGGAGGTTGAGGTAGGGGTGAGTGATGACTCATTGACTTTTCTGTGGTCACCGAAGAAATTCCTGAAATGCAGGCAATTAGTGACTGAGGGGCAGATCATTTATTCTGAAAGCATCAATCACGGGAACGGAGGGATGTGATGAAAATACACAAACGCCTATAATAAACCTCTCGCCTGAGGCAGAGAAAGAGCAAGGCTGTTTACTGAATTGAAGAGCTGGAGTGATAGGGGAGAAATTCTCAGGGACGCTTGGGTCTCGGTAGCACCTGAAACTGCCCCCTACACACTCTTTCTGTGGGAGGTGATCTGGGTGAGGGAGCACGCACGGCCTCTTCTGTATTCACTGTGACTTCACCATCTTTACTGACAGATGGTGGTGGGCTGGGTTGTGCAGTCCATCCTGCAAGTTTCCACTGAACAGCCACTGTTGCACCTGGGCTACATTCTCTCCTAGATTTTATTGAGTGCCTGTGATGTACAGGTACTGTGCTAGGAAGAATTTTCACATACACTCTTTTAAGAACTTGTGAAGCGCTATTAAGAGATGGCAATATGTGGAGTAAAGAAGCTGGGCTTTGTTGTTAACACCAACAAACCTAGGTTCAAATACGAGCCCTGCCCGTTCCCAGCTCTGTGACACCAGGCAAGTTGCTTAACCTCTCGGAGCCAGCACTTTCTCATCAGTAAAATGGGAATAAATAATAACAGCCTCCCTGTGTCATTGAGACAAGTGAGGGCAGCAGGCTAAGTAAAGCCCAAGCATAGCATCTGACACATAGTAGGCCATAAAATGGGGACTGTTCTTACTCCTGTTGCAAACAGAGAAGACCTAGAGAGGTGAGTGACTTGTTTAGACTGTAGCAAACCAGCCACCCTTACGACTTTGCATGTTTATTTCTTACTAGGGTGCACTCTGTTATGGGTTTCCTCCAGGGGTTGGTGAATCCGTGCTTCTTTTGTTAGGTGGGGTCTCTCCCCAATGTTGATGCTGATAGAGGTGGTGGAGTCACATACAGACATAACAGCCCTGGGAGAACCATGTGGTTAGAGCAAGAAGAGAGTACTTCCCAGAAGAAGCTTAGGTACCCCAGATGTGGAAGATGTGCAGGCGCTGGATAGACAGGAACAATGGGTGTCCACTCAGTGATGTTCTGCATTTTGTTAACCATTTGAAGCTACTAGAGACAACATGCATGCCCTTAGAACACCAGACTTTCCTCTCTTGCTAGGTGATATGTAGTCAATATGATATTGGGATTTGTGAGGCTGGTGCTGAGTAAAGATGCTTCGGTGCCCTACTGTTGAAACGCATGATGGAAGAATTGAGGAGCTCACATTTAGAAAATTGGTGGGGAATTCCCAGGACCTGCATCTCTGAATTAGGGGTCAGAGTATTGGTGGCATCTGATACCTCCCCAGGAATGCCCTTAATTGCTTTGGTTAAGGAAAGGGACTAAAGCCGAGAAGGGTAATAAGATGCTGCCACAGGGAAGGTCCTTTCTTTTCACTTCTAACTTAAAAAAAAAAAATTTCAAAATGTACTCTTTGAATCCATGTGGGAGATATCCATCCCCTTTCCCCATGATTGGCAGGTCACAGGACATTGATAAAGTATCAGTGTGGCCCTGATGTTCTATTTCTTTTGGTTACTTCAGGACCTCAGAGAGGGTACTGGTACTATGAACTAGTTCACCAGTTTTATTTGTAGTCTTGCCTGCCTATAACCAGCTACAGAGTCAGGAGCTGCATTTAGACTAGTTTAAGTTCCAGATTAGAGAAATAGAGAATTTGGTCTTGTGTCTAATTCATTCCTTAATACACACAGGCTTAGTAAATGCTTCTTGAATAGATGAATAAACGGAGATACTTCCACATTTCAGAGGCAGTGTTGTGGGAATAGATTCTGTGATGGAGTGTAGTGTGCAGGATGGTTATTAAGGTGTGACCTCCAGATAGATACCTATGGAAAAGAGGGATAGGAAGCATGACTAGGGACGGGGGAAGCTCTTTGAAATGCAGATCCAGTGACAGCCTCAGCCAACCCCTGGGGGAGCTCTGGAGCGAGAATGACTCTTCAGAGGTGTCTTTAGTTGGACCAAGACCACCAGTCTCTACATCACTGCATCCATCAGTCACTGTGTGTGAGTCTCCCTAGGAAGGATGTGACCTTGGGGAGGCAGCGCTCTGCAGCAGACGTAATTCCTGGAGCTGACACGAAAAGGCTGTCAACAGCTGTGCACTCCCTGCAGCTGGGTGACAAGTCCTTTAGTGACAGGGAATGTAAGCAGAGCACACTGTGTCCACCATACAGTGGTATTTTGTAAAGGGGGGGTATATATGACAGTGTGTGTGTGTGTGTGTGTGTGTGTGTGATCATTACCATTCATCAAACTGGAAAAAAGGGACTTCTACCTTATTTACATACTTCAACTGGGGTGACATAATGGCCTTTGAACACAAGGTGGTGCTGTAGTGTCAGTTCTGAGGCGCTTTGGTGCCCCTAGGAATTCTGGAAGTAGGACCACCCTATTCTCTCTCTTTTTTTAAAGATTTTGTTTATTTATTTGACAGAGAGAGACACAGCGAGAGAGGGAACACAAGCAGGGGGAGTGGGAGAGGGAGAAGCAGGCCTCCCACTGAGCAGGGAGCCCGATGTGCGGCTCGATCCCAGGACCCTGGGATCATGACCTGAGCCGAAGGCAGACGCTTAACGACTGAGCCACCCAGGCGCCACCACACCCTATTCTTTTTAGAAAGGAAAAAACATAGCAAAGAGGCTGAGATGCTGTTTTGAAGTTGTTTTTTACCCGGACAACTGACTCAGAAGAGGTGAGATACCTTCCTCTCTCCCTCCCTCCCTCTCTTCCTTCCTCCTGAAGATACTCACCTTAGGGCTGGCTCCTGGGCTCCGGGCTCTGGCTGATCACTGGGGTAGCACAAATAACAAAATTTGGCTTCCGCTCTGGGAGCTTTGATGGAACAAGGAAATGGCATCTGTATGTATTCCATAAAGCGTAGGCTTCATGGCTGCTACATTCCCAAGTCAGAGCTTAGGGAGTGGTGGGAGACCCAGAGAGGAGTTAGGAGCCTGGAATCAGAGTACTTAGTTTTCCATCAAGAAGCAGCTGTAGCACAGGGGTTCAGCCCATGGTTCTCAAGAGGTCACATGCCTGGATCTATATCTGACCCCTACTACTTTCCAGCTATGCGAATTTAAGCAAATGACAATCACTTGGCTAGAACTATAATTATAGTTCTTCCATCATAAGGCTTCTGTGAGGATTAACTGAGAGCTAATCCATGCAAAGGGTTAAGTACCTGGCATATGACAGGGCTAACTATTATTTTTAATATTTTCTATTAGTTCCCAAATGTTCTTTTTTTTTTTTTTTAAAGATTTTAGTTTTAAGCAATCTCTATACCCAGCATGGGGCTCATATGACCCCGAGATCAAGAGTCACATGTGCTCCACCAGCTGAGCCAGGCAGGCACCCCTAGTTCCCCAATGTTCTTGAGCATCTATATTTTGCCAGGTCCTATGCTAGCTGCCTGGGAAGCAAAGATGAGCACAGAACCCTCACGGAGCTCACAGGAGACAGGTGCACATATCAGGTAATGAAAATGAGGTGTGAAGTCCAGGATTGAGTTTATGGGAGCAGGAGGAGAGGCACCAAACTCATTCTTGATGGGGAAGGGACATCAGTGAGGAGTTTGGGGAAAGCTGCCAGACTGGGGTACTTCTTCTGGAATGGTCATTAAAAGATGAGTAAGAGTTCCACAAGTGGGGGGTGGAAATGGATGGCTGGGCAAGAGCAATCCGGGAAGAGGGGACAGAAGGGAACCTCATGAGAGAAATTTGTGAGCAGGGAGTAACTGTTGAGTGCTGCCGAAGGACCAAGCCTGAGTATGAAGTGCCTCACAGACTTTGTCATGACTGGTGACAGTCTTTGGAGGTTTTAAGTAGGACAGTGCATCCAGTGAGCAGGCCTGGCACTCAGAGCAGATTCAGTGTTAATGGATGAGTGAGTAAAGGCTGAATAGGATTTTAGCAAATCAGTGTAGGGAGTATCAGTGGGATGAAGCTCAAGGTGGATGATGGCATCGGTCCAAGTCTAGAGACTCATTGTAAACAAGAAATATATGTGTCTATATTGTGAGGGCAATGCATGCTTATTATAAAAATAGTTGAGTAGTACAGAAGGCCATATATTAAAAGGTAAAACTTCTCCTCCCATTTCTTCAGTCTCCTAATCCTGACTCCTGGAGGTAACTAATAAGAATTTTCTTGGATTTCTTTCCAAACAAGTGTGGGCAGACCCACCTACAGAGAAAAAGGAGTTGTGGTGCTGAGATGTTGGACCCTGGAGCCAGCCTGCTTGGGTTCCCATGATAACTCTAAGTCCCTGTTAGCTTCATGGGCTCACTGCAGTTACATGACCTCCCTGGGCCTCAGTTTTCCTATGTGTAAATGGACACCTACACTATAGGGTCAGTATGAGGAGTAAATAAGTGCCTTGCATATATTAACTCAGAGTACCTGGCTTAGAGGGTTATTTTTATAGAGAATCTCTCTCTCTTTTTTAAAAGATTTTATTTATTTATTTGACAGAGAGAGGGAGAGGCACAAGCAGGCAGAGCAGTAAACGGAGGCAGAAGGAGAAGCAGATTCCTCCGCAAAGCAGGGAGCCCAATGTGGGACTCGATCCCAGGACCCTGGGATTATGACTTGACCCGAAGGTAGACGCTTAACTGACTGAGTTACCCAGGCGCCCCTTTGTAGAGAATCTCTTAAAAATGATAGAGGATATTATAAAAATGCTTCGCAGTATGGCTTTTTCTCAGTTACTAGAGAATCTCGCACACATTTTCACATCAGTAAACATAAATCTACTGCATTGCTCTTACTGCTGTGTAGCACTGTATGGTATGGATATACTCTCGTTTATTTAACCACTCATATTTATGGACCTTCAGGTTGTTTCCAGTTTTCTGCTACGAAGGCTATCATTGTGTCCTTGTTCAAGTAGTTCTGTAAGACAAATTCCTACAAATCACATTTCTGGTATAAGGGAGAGCCCCACCATCCATTAACTATTCTTTTTCGGTGAAAGTAGCTGGCAACTGCTCTCTGCCCCCCAGCACATCTTGAGGGACGACATCTTTCATCTGCAGGGGTACACCAGGCTGCGTCCTTGCCTTGAATAAACGGCTTAATGGAGCCAGTGGGAAACTCTGGGGAGGAGTTAGGCCAATGGATGTAAGAAGTCCCTCTGGGAGGCAGGGGGTTCTACTCCTCTCTCTTTTCCTTCCTGCTCTCACCTTCTACCTGAGATTCAGAGTTAGGGAGAGCTTTGGGGGGTAGACCTGGGCGATCCTAGTGATGTGTTAGGAGTGATGAGTGTGCAGGAACCAGCTCTCCGGGGGCTCCCTTGCTTTCTGGGGACGTGGCTCTGACTGAACAGAGAAGCCTGTAGCCCCTGCATGGAGCCCTGTGGTCTGGCTGTAACCCAGGCGCTCACGGACTCTCAAAGACCTCCGGCATCCAGAAGAGGGTCCAACACCAGCCGCTCTGGCAGAGGCCAGATCTGTCACAGCGCTCGGGCGCGGCCTACTCCCAAACCTTCTGGGGCATGTGTCCACCAGTGCAGAGCACCACCCCTCTCAGCCCGGGAAGGACAGAGGCTGGACCTCACCTCCACACTGGGAGGCACCGTCCAGCCCCGTGGAAGGGGAATGCAGCCCTCCCCCCATATGTGTAGTTTCGCTTCCCGGGGTTCCAGCGACTCCTGCTCAACCCTGGTCTGGAAGCAGACGATCCTCCTCCGGACGAATCGTCAGAATACGTTGTACGTACGACTACGTCACAATGCCTGCGTCATTCATTCCACGTCGTCTCATCCCACCGGCGTCTTCTCCCACGGTATCGCAAGACGGGCAAGTCCGGCACAATAATGTATTTTGAGAGGGAGAGGCCACATTCACGTAACTTTCATTACAGTATACTGTTATAATTGTTCTATTTATTATTAGCTATTGTTAATCTCTAACTGTGTCTATAAATTAAGCTTTATCATACGTAGTGTTAACTTTAAACAGGGCGAAGAGCAACTTCGTTTAAGTAAAAGAATGAGTTTACTCAGGAAAAGCAGAGGAGCTGCAATTAGGGACAAGCAGGCTGCGGTGAACTGCAGGCGAGTCTGCAGAAACAAAGGGAAGGTCAGCTTTGATTAGGCTTTAGGAGGAAATTGGGGAGGGTCGTTCTGAACAGAAGTTCACTGAAGGACAAGAGTTTGAGGCTGTGGCCGTCTCAGTGGTTGCAGGCGGTGGTTCGTGCATTCTTACTGGGGCGGGGTGGGCTCTTCCTTTATTTAAAGGCAGGAGATAAATTCCTATGTGAAATGTGCCCTCCCTTGTTGAAATGGTATCTTCATTCTTCCTGCTGGTTCTGTAGGCTGTGGGACTGCTGTGTACGTGACAGCTCCCCCTTCAGGGTTTACGATTCCATTTTAAATGAGGTTTCCTTTTATTTTTACAGTATTTATGTATAGGGAAAAACATAGTATATATAGAGTTTGGTACTACCTGTGGTTTCAGGCATCCACTGGGGGTCTTGGAAGATTCCCCCCCCATAATAAAGGGGGACTTATGTAGTTTTGTGCAGAAAACCTTGTGGGCCCCAGTGTGAAGGGGAGCCTGCTTCTCTGAGGTGGCCCTGGGAGGTGGGCATCTCCCACTCTCGAAGAATCCCAGTGACGAAGGCAGGGACCACAAGGGAGATACATGCAGTGGGCAAGAATTGTCTGAGGACTACTCCGGAACTAGCTGCCCGCAGTGATTCAGAGCTGTGGGGAATGAGAAGCACCTGTAGGAGCAGGCATTTAATTTTCAAAATCTCTTTCTGTTGGAAGATATGAGCAGGGCTGACAGCTACCCTTTCCTTCTGAGAAGCCCTTGGACTTCCTGGGGTGGCCCCTCAGGAAGGAGATTCTGGACTTGCACAAGAGATCATGTGTGTATAAAAACAAAAAACAATGCTAGTATTTGCACCTTGAATTGGGAAGTAGATTTTCCCAAATTGTTCTAAAAATTTGGACTAGTTTATACTTCCATAGTGTATGAAAGTGCCTATTTTCTCTCATCTTTGACAACAGTGAGTATTATTAAGCTTTATTTTGCCAACTGATAGAGATATAAAGTGGTATCCCCATGTTGATTTAATTTGTATTTTCTTGATTATGAATGTGACTGAACATATTCATATCTACTTATTGGATGTTAGCGTTTCTGTTTGGCTGTGTGGCTTTTCCTCATTGATTTGTAAAAACTCATTTTATAGTAAGGAAATTGGTCCTTTGTCTAGCAGATGAGTGGCCAATATTCTCCTAAGTTTTTGTGTTCTTTAAACTTTATTTTCTTGTGCAGAAGTATAAACATTTTATATAGTCAGATTTAGCAGTCTTTTCCTTTAGGGCTTCTGGGATCTATGTCATACTTAGTTGTTTCTTCACTCCAAGTGTATAAAATTATTAACTCATTTTTTTCCTGTTGCTTCTCTATTTGTATTTCTTTGCTTTTATGTAAATGTTTTTTAAGTCTCTGGAATTTATTTTGGTATAGAAAGCGAGGTAAGAATCTAGCTTTATTTCCTTTTCTAAAATGGCCAGCTAGTTATCCCAGTGCTATTTATTGGCTAATCTTTCTTTTTCCTGCTGATTTGAAACACCTCCTTTTTCATATGTAGAGCATCTTGCTCTCTGTACTTAAGACATCTGGGTTCTGTCTCCAAGTCTGTCACTAATTTCATGTGATTTCTGCAAAGCTCCATCCTCATGGGCCTTAGTTTACTCCTGTGTAAAGTGAAGGATTGGAAGGATTGTTTGAATCCCCTTCCAGCCTTTGTACTGTAGGCTGATGCCACACTTCTATCATGATATCAGACCCTCCCTCCTCCAGTCTTTGCCAGTCAATTGTGAAGACAGGCTCACCAACCACCCAGGGCTCACGGCCTGTTGCTAGGGCGGTGTCTACGCCCTTTTATTGTTACCTTTCTCTGCATGAGATCACTATGTTTGAATCTTTGAAAGGTTAAACCCTCTCTTACATGAATTCTTGTGTGACCTCTTGTAATGAGACAGAAGGAAAGAAAAGGGTCTTAATAGGAGGTTCTTAACTTGGGTCTCTGGGGAAGAGGGTTAGGAAGAAAGTGATGGGAAGTTATTTAAACACTTTACAAGCTTTAGGAAAATGGGACCCATGGACTGATTTCAACATTAACCTTCCTTGCTTTGGGTTAGAAGACTGTCTATACAGTAAGCTCACAGTGGTCTATGCTTGCTGGTGGTTGTAGGGTGTATGAACAGTTACTGAGTTCCAGGTGTTCTACATACAGAATTGATTTAATGCTTTATAACCTTGCCAGATCAGTACAACTATCTCCATTCTGAAGATGTGGAAGCTAAGTAGGAACTTGCCTTAGGCCACCCAGTAGGTGTAGGGCTCAGTAGGTTTTGCTTTGGAGAATTTGAACTCAGGTCCATACAACAATGCTTTCCTCTCCCCCCCATACTTCCCACACTACAGTTCCCCAGGGGAAGGTCTGATTGGTAGTTAAATATGTTGATTGCTAATAAAAGGGCTAATGGATCTCTTTCCCTTGGTAGACAATCATGATACACACCTGTTAAGCATTGGCCCAGATGCAATTCCTGGGCTCCAGAGGTTGATGCCTTTGACTGTGGGATTAAAGTAACTGTGTTGGCCAGAATTTCCACCAGGTGGCGCTGCAAGCTCAGTAATGGAGTCCTTCCTGAAGCGCCCACCTTGAGCCCACAAGTGCCCCTGGGGACCTGCACACAGATTCAGCATCCCCCAGCAGATGGAATTTCTCTTTAAGCTTACTCTGAACTCTGGGCAGGTGGGGCATGGCTGAGTTGGTTCTCTTTGGAGTTAAAGAGGGCTTGGGGTGATTCCCGTCCTTTCCATGACCTTCACTGGTACAGGATCTGCGTCCTTGGCAATTAGGTGGCCCACGATGGGGCTCCTATGCTGTGGGGTGGTTGCACCGCTAGTTATAACAGATGGTAGATTTCAGGTTGAGGGAGATCTTTCTGCTTTTGTTCTTGGTGTGGTACAGGCAGGAGCATTTACTAAATGTGGACTGGAAGGTCCCAGTGGAAAGGTGAGAATTGAGTTATGAGACCCTGGTGTCCTACAGTTAAGGCAGCAAGGAGGAAGCAGCATAATGGAGGGAACTGTTATTTATTGAATGCTTATTCTGTGCCAGGCACTGAGAGGGGAGCTTTCTCCATGTTGTCTTACTTAGTCCTCACACTAATCCTGTGAGTTAGCTACTATTATTGTCCCCATTTTATAGATGAATGGACCTGCTTTGGAGAGTTGAACAGACTTGCCCAAAGTCTCTAAGGAGGACAGCTTTGCAGTTAGGATTCTGTACTAGTTCATGCTCTAAGGAGCAGATCCCAAAGACTTGGGCAGAAGGGGTACAAGGAGGAGTTCTAAAACCTGTCATTTAGTGGTGCAGCCAGCACCAAACTCCCTCTTACCTTCCTAAAACTTTTGTTCCTGTAAATGTTCAAGAAACTATTTGTAAAAAAAAAAAAAAAAAAAGATGGGGAGGGGGAGAGAATGCAGTATTATCACCATTTTACAGATGAGAGAACTGAGACTCAGTAGCACAGCTAGGGTTCAAATAAAGTTTATGTGACTCAGAGTATCTGCTCTTTTAAGAAGGTAAATATCACTGGAATATGCAAACTCATCACTCATTCACTCAACAAACACTGACCAGGCAGCAACTAACACCAAGCATGGTAGCAGCTGCTTTCACTTAAGATTAGTCCTTTGTAAATATTCTTTAGCCCTCCAGGTTCATCCTTGTGTCATCCATCCTAGTGCAGTGTCCTGCATCATAGGCAGTCAATAAAGGCTTACTGAATGGAATGGGGTTGAATTGAACTGGTTGATACAGCTGGAGTGTTTGACGTGCTCCAGGTCCTTGGACTTTCCAAGTCTTAAGAAACCAAATTACTGGAACTATTCACTTTGGTTCAATGTGGCCAGCACTTGTTGAGTGACTGCCATTTTATTCCCTTACTATTTGGCTAATATTGGCCGTATCACCCAGCCGCTGCTAAAATTAGATTGCACATTATAATGCTACACTAAAATCTAAAGCAAGGGCAGGAACATATGAGCTTCATATTGGAGGGAGGTAGAACAGGGGAACCTGAAACTCTAGGCTATGGAAAGGTGGTATTTTGTTTACTATAAAGCTGTTTTTGAAGTTTGGTTATTTTAACTAGTGTGTGAACTTGCACAGATAACATACCTTTCTGAATATCAATTTCCCCTTTCGCAGGATGCATTCTTCATGTTACTGGATCATCACCAATTTCAGCAACTTGAGGACAGTACAGTCTGAGTGCTGAGTGTTATATTTTCAGTTCCAGGCAGAGAACCTGGAAACTAGTTAATGCCCAATAAATATTGAGAGAAGGACACTGTTCTTCAAAGTAGGTAGGACAAATTCCCAGTTTTATAGATGGAAAGACAGGTCCTGGGTTTTGTTAAATGAGAGAATTAATTTGAGATTTATTCAAGGTTATGCAT